CAATCGGATGAAAACTCGAATTTTGCGAATCAATTTTGTGTGTGGCAATTTCATCGTGGACACCCTTTAATGAGCAATTACAAGCCTGGCCAAAAGTATGGCGTGGTCAGCCCGGTCAAAAAGAGCCTTTAGATCCGTGTACACAGCGGCTACCTGTGGTCCTGCATCCGCAGGCACGAGGAAATGAAAGGAGCAAGGTGTGATGAGACCGATCTCTTGGGGTGTAAACCATGTTGATCCGGAGAAATATAGTTCTGCTTCTAGAGAATAAGACGTCGTTAATCTCGAAGACTTTAAAGTAGGCGCAAAGCGATGTGATTCCTCGGTAATATTCGATTGGAAAATGTAGCGCTGCATTACATTCAAATTGGTCCATTTTATATTTTTACCGGCCTGTGTGAAATAAATGCTGAGGGATTATTTTCAGCGCATAAGTCTACTTTGAGCAGCACTGGTGGTGTAGTTGTAAACGTGATTACCTTTCATCCCAACAGGCCTGGGTCCAATCCCAGTCGGCGCCGCCGGGATGTTCTGAGGGAAGAAAAGCCGTTGGTCCCCGGTTCATGAGTTGATGGGTCGATAGGTAGCGTCCAGGTGTGGTAGCCAGTGCTGAGATTTGTCATTGTCATTGACTGTCTTTCGCGCGATATTGACAAAATTGTTCGTCACATAGTCACTGACAGACTTGATCCTCAAAAAAACCTTCGCAAAATCTCATTCATTTTTTCGTCAATGACAAAGATTCACCTGGTAACAAAAAGTTTAATTTTGTACATTCTGTGTCACATTATTGTTATCCAAGCAGTTCAGGACGTAGATGCTTGTTCACATTAACGGCTCCAAATAATTGTGTTGCTCAAGTAATTTAATTTCGTTACAAATTTAGTTAATATAAAAATTTACACATGTTCATCACTGACAGCATTGTCATTGACAATTGACATGGTTTGCCTTGACTGTGACTAGGTCAAATGAGTGACCAAAGCAGAATTGTCAATATCATCGTGTATTGTCGAGATTTTTCAGCACTGGTGGGAGCTGTCTCCCTGGCGTCTGTAGCATTAGTGCTCATCACGGAAAAAAATAGATGGAAAACAAATCGAGGAAAAAAGTCTACTTTGAATGTGCAATATTGAACTTGATAAAAAAATATAGATACTAAGAATTTATCAGAAGGGTGGACGGTCTCGGTGTACACTGAGACAAATAAACAGAAGAATTTCATAAGGAACGATTAATGAAGGACACATATGAATTTGATAAGCGTTACTTATGAATGATTTTCGTCTAACGTGAGGTAACTCTTATAATACGCCATTAATCATTTAATTTTCCCAAGCGTTGGAAAACGAGCAACACACACTGAGACAAATAAACCTAAGAATTCCATAAGGCATGACTTATGAACCTCAACAATTTTGATTTCATAAGGCACTTATGAATTCAATAAACACGACTTATGCATGCATTGATCACTTTTAAATAATAAACCTGGCTTTAAGAATTCATTTTTCATATTTTTTTTTTAAATGAGTTCTTTTTTAATTTTTAATCTTTCTTCAGAGCAGATCCACAAATGGATTTTTTTTTAATATTTTTTTAAGAAAATTAAGGCAGTTTTCTACAAATAATTCATTCACCAAATGTGTGTAGGTCTTACTATTAATTAAATATACTTTTTTTTTAAACTAGAATGAAAAAAAGTTCAGCCAAAATGGTAGTCAATATAGTTTTCAGAGGAAAACATGGATACAAAGTTGCTTAACTTCTACAAAGTCTTTAGATCCACAAAGTTTAATTTGAATCTGAGATGGTGCAGCCAACCCCATGGACGTTTTGAGATGAAATTCATCTATAAGACAAAGACGGTTGAAATCTCTCAAAAACTGTCTACGTAGTCTTATTTCACAAAATAATGATCGTTGGGAACTATATAATGATGGTTCTCAAACTTTCGTTGATTACGAGTCACTTTGAGATATATTATCAGCTCGAATCCTCCGATTTATGTATTGTAATGCAAAAACGCTAATTGTTTTAAAAGTTCCAAAGAAAGCTATTAGAAAGCATAATGACTCAAAACCCACGAATGCGTACAAATAGCTTGAACGTATCAAAATAGATGAGTCAAGATTACTGTTAAAACGCGAAACATAAAACCTACAAAACGCAAAATGATCTCGAACCCGCCATGGCAGCCTTAACCTTTCAGTGCTGTAACACGAGCACTCGCGCTTTGTACTTAGAACAATTCACTTACGCACTAGCATCACGGATTTAGAAAATTATGAATTTGACCTTCCTTGAACCACTGAACAAATTTCCAAAAGACTGTAACTTTCTATATGGCTGGATGACAAGATTTAGCATATTCAGGACATTCACTTGCACACTAGCGCCGCGTTGTGAGAGCAAATTCTAAATTTCTGTGCATCTACCAATAGTTCTTGATCTAGTAAACAACTTTGCCGCAGACAGAAACCTTCTATATGGCAAGGATTCAAAAATATAGTATAGTCAGGAAATACACTTGCACACTAGTGCCAGGTAGGTAGTTAGAAAATTATAATCTTCTGTCTACCAACCAATAGACGATGACCCACTGAATAACATTTCCGAAGACAAAAACCTGCTATATTGCCAGAATCCCAAGATAAAGCATATTCAGAAAATTTACTTGCACACTAGCGCCACGTAGCAAGAAAATTCTGACCTTGACCTACTGCAAATATTTGCTAAAGACAGAATCCTTGTTTGGCCTGGTTCCCAAAATATAGCATATTTAGACAATGCGCACTGACACTAACGCCGCGTAGTGAGAAAATTATGAACCTACCGAACAAATTTTCCCAACACAGAAACCTTGCTCCAGATATAGCATATTCAGGAAATACACTTGTACACTAGTGCAGTGAGAAAGTCTGAACCTCTGTCTACCAATCAATAGTCCTTGACCTTCCGAACAAACTCGCCCAAGACTATAACCTTCTATTTTACCTGGATCCTAAGATATAGCGTACTCAGGAAATTCACTTATACACTAGCGCTGAGTAGTAAGAAAGTTTGAACTTTTTCCCACTAATGGACAGTACTTGCCCCACTGAACAACTTTGCCGAAGACTGTAACCTTCTATATCGCCAAGATATTAAGATTTAGCATATTCAGGAAATTCACTTGTACACTAGCGCGACGTAGTGAGATAATACTGACCTACTGAACATAAAAGTAGTTGACCTACTGTACAAATTTGCCCAAGACAGACACCCTAGATGGTCTGGATCCCAAGATATATCATATTCGGGGAAAAAAACACTTACACACTAGTGCCAAGTAGTGAGAAAATTATGAACCTACCGAACAAATTTTCCGAAGACTGTAACTTTCTATATGGCAAGGAGCCCAATATATAGTCTATTTAGGATATCCCCTTGCACACTAGCGCCACGTAATTAAAGGAAAATTCTGAACTTCTGTGCACCAACTATTTACCGTGCTATTTAGGGTATTACCATAGAGGTAACTCTAAGACTAGAAGGTCCCGAAGAAACGTGCTCAACTTTTTGGCTCAGCTCTGGTACTCTCTTCGGTCCCAAGCTAATCGATACACCCCTCGAAACATAGGAAAATCCTCGTACCTCTCATTTTATCAGTCAAACGTTCATAGCTAATCAAAACAAGCATAGTGTAGTACTAGAATTTTGACAAGAATGGGGTACGCTTATAGATGTACTTGGGACTACTCAAGTATTGAGCCAATTTAAAATCGTTAGTTTACGCCGGTTGGTGGTACTATCAACTAAGAAAAAAATAAAATTATCGGTAAATGTATGTTCGATGAAAAACATGCAAGCGTAATGTCTGCTTGTCTGTGCTCAATATAAAATGAGGGGAGATTTTATGCGACGATCAAAATTCACCAATATCACAATCGGGAAGGGGAGAACTTCTTCAACCCGATGGTGCTGTTGGTTTGTATAGGTGAGCTTTGATTCACGCGAAAAGCAGATAGGCCCTTTTCATCCAATGACGTTTATATAAGGTCTGGGCCAAAGGGCTTATTGGTGTTAGTGAAATGTGCAAATGGTTAGTGGTGTTCGTATTATATTGCAATGTTTATCTTTTTACACGAAACAGCTGTTGGCAGTGACGTATTTTATCTGTTCTCAGTATGTCGGCAGTGACGTATATCTATCTGTTCGCAGATGTTCAGCAATGTTTACAACATTTTTGCTTCTAACACCAGCAAGCTGCCTGTTGGTCCAGACCTTATATAAATGTCATTGCTTTTCATCGATTGTTTTGCACAATAACATGAGATTTAGGGATCATCCATAAATGACTGTAGCGTATATGGTTATACCTAATACATGGCTTAGTTGCTGCATCATTTATGCATGTTTCCTTACGCCCGTCACTGGTGCAATTATCTTACACACTAACTTGAAACTACTCATAAATGCGTAAACATACCAATTTTGAATAAATGTAGCTCAACTCATTAAATGAGTACATTTTTACCCATTACCTGTTACCTATTAATGAGTTACTGTCACTCATATAATGGGTAATTTTTTTTACTCATTTAATGAGTTGAGCTACATTTATTCAAAATGGGTATGTTTTACCCATTCATGAGTACTTTCATGTTAGCGTGTAAGTTTTCTTCAAATGAGTATTTTTTTACTCATTAACGGGTACTTTCAAGCTACCGTGTACCATAAACATGATTTGCCGTAATAGCTACCTCCATCATTCTCGGCGATTTAATGGCAAATCATAGAAGAAAAAAAAAAACAAAAAACCATCTTCCCCAAAAATAGCAATGAATCAACTTTTCGTTACCCTCGGATCGGCCGTTCACCGACCGGCATCATCCAAGCGGAGATTGTGCCAACACATAGCCCCATATTAATGAAAACAACCCCTTCAAAAAATCTACACTGACAAACCACATATATAGGTACCTTTAACCAGTAAAAAAAATAACATAAAAACTTACCACACAAGCTGTAACTGATTCCCAAACGTTTTTAGCAAATACTTCAATTTTGGGTGGAATTTTCGCAAACTGCTCCGCAAATTGCGCGTAGTCGTTGTCGTCGATCAGTTCCTTGCTTATTGGTGGGGCAGTTGTAGTTATTGCTGCCTCTGGCTTGTTCGACAGAAAAGAAGAAACCGCTTCCGAATTCTCTCTACCACCGCTCTGCTCAGTGAGGCTTATTAATGCTTTAGGCTGAGCGGTGATCACGTAGGGTGCGGGTAGAGGAATGGTGTTAACACAATTTTCGATCCGCGTGGTTTACCTTCACTCGACGGAATATCAACCGGCCGTGTATGGAAATTTTTTTTTTCAACTGCTTTAATTATTTATTGGTTGCTCTTTTCGGTCGAGAACAATAACAATCAAAGGGTAAACGTTGGGAATTCGTATGCAGCTCGGATGGACACGCACACACTCTCACTCCACACAAGTACAGATGGCGCTGTACTAGGAGAATGTGGTCGGTTGTTTGGAAAGGGTAACTTGTTTTCCTTTTTCTTATGCTGGATCTTAGCTTGGTTGGCACGGTATTTCGATGATAATTTGTACCGGTAAGAGAAGGGTGTATTCAGTGGAAATCGTAGTGGCGAAATATCGTCCGCTGTTGGATACGAACACTTTGCGATGGTAGCACCTTAACACAACTTCTTCCAGGATCCAAAGATCTCAATACTTTTCTCCAACGATGACAACAAGAATAATAATCACACACGCTACCACGCGTACATACACTGTTGATGGTGCACCGACAGAAGAACAATTTGCAATTAATTCATCGAAGTGGCATATCTCTGTCTCTGCACATTTTTACGACCTGTTCTTAAACAATCTACGGCTGTTTCAGAAAGTGTGTTGACACGAGGCGGTAGTTTAGCATGAGAACCGCCTAATTCGCCCCAGATTTAAAGTGTTTCTCTGGAGTTTCTCAGCGTTCTAGGTTTACTGGACACCAGACGTTATACAATCTTCCAAATGATCTACAAAGACCGACAACTACGACCGTCTACTTTCGCTCTGCGGCTAACGTAGTCTGTTGACTAACGAGCGCGGCTGCTATATCACTTTGTATGCTGCTACTTTCCTGATCACTTTTTAAATCCTGCGCCTTCTTGTTCTTCTCTATTTTCGTTTGAGCCAAGTATGTGTCCTAGGCCGGATACTCGAGATCAACACTAACAACACAGAACAGACTGCTTTTGGCTACCGGTTACGGGCACAGTCAAACTCTTATTACGCAGTTGGATACACAAATTGAACTGTTTCAGTGACAGACGAAAGACCGGGTCTCTTCTGTCGACTTGAACGAAACTTGGCGTGTCGCCGCTGCTCTTCGATGCTCACTTCAGTGGGTGGTGGGTTATACCATTCAGCGATCGCAGGCAGGAATCACAATAATTCACTTTGTTTGTCTTGCTCTCCCGCTCTCATGACTTCACTAGAAACTTCTCTTTTCACTCTCCCGTTCGAACAGCTTTTCCGAGAGATACCAACGCGATATTTGCTTCGAAACACGGGTTGATGTAAACACTTTCCGCCGATTTTCTCACTCTCCTAGCTCTGAAAAACAGTATTGCGATGGTGCATTACGACGCCAATAATGCGTTTAGACGAACAGAAAACCGGAGTCCACGACTACGACGACGGCGGAAGTGCTAAACGATTGACCTCCTCTCCGCTCCGGTTTTTTTTTGCTGCACTGCAAGACTGGGGGTTTGATGATACTCTGCTAACGAATCGAATTGATTTTCCTAGAAGAGAAATAAAACGAAACCAAATCAATAAAATTTGAATATTAATATCAATTTGCGATGGTCGTCATGGGTGCGGGCGCACTCCCGAGAGCCAAAGTGCAATGGAATGCGTGTGAATGTGTCCCTAGGATGACCTTGGTGTGGATAAATTGTTGGCCGGGCAGGCGGGAATGCACTGCTATCGATTTTGTAGCTGTGTATAGATATCGATGTCTAACAACGGTGGTAGTGATGGAAAAAATCGATCACTAATTGACTTATTGCCGTTGTTGCCTTGTTCACCTTGATAATATTAATAATACTACTACGTCTCTCAGGAATGGGAAAAACTGGAAAAGGAAGTATATCTATCAAAACTGATCGAATGTTAAGCGGAAAATAAGTGATAGGGGAAATGGAGCTTAAATGCCCCTAATTTGGGCCCATACATAAATTCAGCAATCGACTAGATTTTCAATAGCAACCAGAAATACCCATTAGTACAGTCTCAATGACGCTTTCATCTAGATATTATTGATAACTAGCAGATTTTTAGCGATGGGCCCAATCTTAGATTCATAGGTCAACATTCGAGCCATTTCCGCCCAAATTGAGATCTGAACCATTTAACTTATTTAAAATCCGTCAAAATTACCGAGGACGCATGTAGGGACAAGCAATAAAATAATTTCTGAAATACATCAATGGTGCTTTATTTTGAAAAAAAAGTATTTGAAATCTTATAGACCACCCTCCTTAATTCAGAACCCCAAAATGTAAGTCTGAACAAAAAATTATATATATTTATGAGGGTTTAAAGGTTACGCAAATGGTTTCAAATATGTAAGGCGATTACTATGGAAGAAGTCTAAATTTCTCAAATATCACTTATATCACTTCCAGGAGGTATGCATGAGTACGCCCTTTGTATGAAGAATTCCTTCTTTTTCCTGACTTTGACACTCTTACACGAACTTTCGCCTGCTCTCAACTTAGTGTTCTTAAAACACATCCACAGTCAGTGTTGGGAAAATATTTAAAAAAAATCAAATCTCACCAACGCCCAAGATCACGCTTGATTTTCGTAGACAAAAATCAACAAGCAAACAACTGCGGTTTATTTTACAAGCTGTGTTATCGCAGCTCGGAATATCAAGCTAACAAAACTCACCAACTGCAAATCTCACCAAACTGTGGTGAGATTGAGTTTAATGATTTCTGCTTTACTCCCGAATGCATCCATAACGGCTTGCAGCTGTCCCTTCGCGTCTGCCATCGGTGAAGATTAAAAAGAGATAACAAACTATGCTTTCTCTTTCTAAGAAAACGATGTGCAATGGAATCATTGTTGTGTTGAGTCAAATCTCAGCTTGATTTTTGCACGTTGTGAATAGTCCAGCAATATCAAAGGAACTTGTAAAAACAATATCAAGCATGATATTTTGTTCCAATATCACGCGTGATATTGCGAGCGCATGAGAGCGGAAAAATATCAATTGATTTCTGATTTTGCCAACACTGTTCACAGTTATTAATATAGAGCTGATCTATGTCAACCATAAATTACAAGGGAAAACACTGAATTTAAGAAACTAAATAACTGGTTTTTCCTGAGTTTCCAACATATGTTTTGGGGGCCATCCAAAAATAAACAGGGTGGTCATTGAAAATAAAATAAAATACCGGGTTTTCCCTGGCTCCAAACATGTTTTCCCCGGTTTCATATAAATAGCTTAATATGGAAAAAAAAATTATACTGTAACAAAACTTATGGCATTCTATTTTAAATGCAGAAAACCTCAGAAAACCCGCTCCTTGAAAACGTATTTGGTTTAAAGCTCGCTGTCTAATTGTTCTCCATAATATAGATAATTTTATGGAGCCCGAAATTTCAAATATTTTTAAAAGTCTCAGAATGTTTAAATGTATCTAACCTAAGTGTTAATCACTGGAAGAACGATAAACCAAATTGGGATTTTTTTCTACGAATAATTGAATCAGTGATGGCATAATCATCATCAAATTGATATTTTCCCGCTCTCATCCACTCTCAGTATCACGTGTGATATTGGAGCAAAATATCTTGCTTGATATTGGTTTTACAGGCAAAATTCATGAAACTCAATCTCACCACACCACAGTTTGTTGAGATTAGCAGCTGGTGAGTATTGTTAGCTTGATATTCCGAGCTGCGATATCACAGCTTGCTATATCAACCGCAGTTGTTTGTTTGTTGATTTTTTACGAAAAGCAAGCGTGCTCTTGTTCTTTGGTAAGCATTCCTGACGTTGCTGAAAATTACGATAGCATCAGATTACGAGCTTGCTAGTGTATTAGAATGCTTTGTTGATTATTCATGAACTCTTGATCGCTGGGAGTGCTTGTGAATATTTACGGTGGACAAAAGGGTGAACAAAGTGGTGAACGCCTAAGATTTTCTCATTTAGACCGCAACTGAGAAGTGTTGAGGGAATTTATATCTGTAATTTTAACCAGTTCCTTTTTTGTTTGCTAATCTGGTTAAAATGTTATACTTAATTATCTTAAGAGGCAACTAACCATCATTCGATTTGCTTTTGCTTCTTCTTCTTGTATTCCTAAATAACCACTTTCTAAAAGTATTGGTAAAATTCGTTGTTAGCGTGCGTCGCCGTGCCAAAACAGTCGATGAATCATAAATATTAACTGGTATGGTGAGCAAAATCTACCATCTCTTTTATTCTTTTACTTTTCAATACAACAGAAAATGTGACGTCACACATGCACGTGAATAGAGCTTTTTGACGTTTAATCGGTGCACACTACTGCACCATTTAAATCGAACGAGTGCGAGCAAGAGGGAAACAGATTTGTGAGAAAACAAACCGTTCATTCATCCATGTGTGCTAGATAGAGAAAGATTATTAAACGTCAAAAATATCTATAAGAATGTCGTAGACAAAACATTCACACTTCCAGACTACGCTATATGACATTGTTTACACCCCTGAGCGGGAAAGCCAATAACAGGCTTCATGCAATGCTGCCAAATCTCCCCTGTTTGAGTTTCATTCAATCTTTTTTTTTTACCTTTTTAATTGGAATGTTTAAGTTTCAAAAAAGGACATTTTAGTATTATTCATTCTAGTAAGTAAATGCAGTGATGGTGTTTCACCCAGAAAATAATGATGTAAAATCATTAAATACTTGCTTTAAATTTTCGGATGGCTTGTATACTAATGATGATGATTGAAGAATATTTCAAAAACAAGAAGAATCCGAATTGAGTGACGGTGTCTTTAACCCTTAAAGATAAATCATCCAGCTCAAACATGTGTATGAGTAAGCGGTGGGACCATCATCATCATTATCATTTGGTGAGATTTGATTTTTAAATATTGTTCCCACACTCAATTGTTCCCACACTCAGGCCTGTGGACTTGGAGACATACTTCAAGTCCCCGCGTACATCGTACGGGTTAGGCAAAAATGTGCGTCTATCTCTAAAAAACTGTCGCATTAATGGCCCTTCGCTCATTTTCAACTTCTATTCAATTTTCATACTGCCGTACTCTAACGGAACTATCCACCTACCCTCTTCTAAAGATCATTCTCTAGCTAATAAATCATCACACTAAAGCTTCATGTTAGCATTTCCAACCAACTCTGAAAATCGTTAACTTCGCGTATGAAGTAACATAAAAACACTTTGAATGTAGAAATTTCAGGTAATTTTTAGAACTACCTATATCATGAAACTTGTAAGGCGAAGTAAAGGTAAGTTTCAAGGATTCTCTGAAGAGACTATTATGAGGATTGTGATTATAATTCTAGCGAACTCTTATACAATTCTAAAATTCTGAGCCTCTTTCCTTCAAAATGAATTAACTCTAAACTACCCTACTTGAAGAAACTGAAAATCTCTTAAATTTTGATCAATCAATCAATCAATCAATCAATAAATTAAAAAAATTGACGAGAGCCACAAGAAAATATGGATAATAATTCCATAATATGAGGGTTTCAATAATTCCCAAAGATCCTCTTAAGCGCATTTTCAGAAGAATTCTGTGGCGAAATCCATGCAAATTTAATAAGAATACATTTCTTAATTCTAAATGTCATACCAAAAGATTTCCAATGAATAATCCAAGCAAATTATTAAGAAAATTATGAAGAGAAGCTAAACAAATTCTTATCAGAATTAAGAATGCAAAGCTTATTTAAAAGTGAATTTCAAGAGTATTCTGGAAGACATTCTTAAAGTGTTCTACCAGAACTCCGAGACTGTTATGCAGACAATCTCTAGGGAATACAAAAAAAAAAATTATAAGATTATTGAGGGTAATCCTGATAGTAGAAGTAATTCTGGAGACTTTTTGGGATGATCCTAAGCCAATCCTTGACGAAGTAGCAAAGATATCTAGACATGTGTACCTAAGAAACAATTTAGTAAATTCAAACATTAATCAACTTTCAAGCCTCTGTGTACAGAAATTAAAGATCTAGGATTAACAAAATTTATGACATTCTGAGACATCACACAAATTTCAAGATCCTGGTCTTGGAAAACTGTTTAAGATTATGGACTGAACAAAAGTGTAACACTAAGGTATGTGAGAAAAAATCTCTATGAATGTGCATTCACTATCCCACAAAAGGAGAAAGTTTCTAAAATTTGAGACATGGAAAGTGTTCAAGGTTCCAAAATTATAAAAAAAAAAACATTCAAAATGTCAGACTCTGGCAAATGGTTTATTTATTGTATCTCAGACTAAATGTTTGGTATTCTGTACTATGGAAGGTAAACATGTTCGGGCTTTAAGAAAAAGTCAAGATTTTAATAGAAATATTCAAGATATCGGACTTTGTTTGTATATGAACGTTTATTAATAGAATTTGATTAATAAAGGAATAATATATAAACAACCTAATATTGTAAGGTTCCAAACAAATTCCCGGTTTTTCCTGGTTGATTTCGATTTTCGGTTGATTCCCAGTTCTCCCAGTTTTCCTGGTTCAGTGACCACCCTGAATTA